TGCTGATAATTGATACTGATCCTAGGGTATGGAGATGGCAAGCGAATTATGACATTATTACATCTACCAGAATTTCTACATCATGAAGATTGTTAATACTTGTGGCCAACTTAATCAATTACACATTTAAATTCATGATATTCTTCATATTTCATTCATGATTTTGATTCTAGGATGGTGATTTGGATGTCATTTTACAAAATTAACAATACCATTTTCTGCCTATTACCAAAAAATAGCAAAAAGTAATTATGTTCAGTTATACATAATGAATAAATACAAATAAATATTAATAATAAATTCATGATTTAATCAGTTTTCAGTATATTTAGAACTGCTGAATTGTAAGTAATCATTTCACAATTACACTCAATAAATCATATCCTTTTGCATGTGTGATAAATGATTTTGCTTCTAGGACATAGAGCTGGCAGATGGCAGACAGAGTATAACAAAATTAAATGTACATTCTGGTATTAACCAATGCAAATAGTATATTTATAAAAATTATAACGTGCAAGTGTAAAAACATTTTAGAACAATTTCATAATTGGATTTATATATAACAATTTTGGTATTATTCTCAATAGTCCTAATTCTTTACCAATTTATTTTCCATATTTGTTCACTTATTCTTTTTCTAGGATATGGACTTGGTCGATAGATCAGCTCACCATTTCCTGCTGTCCCAAAAAAATCACATATTAATGAAAATTTACACTAATACTATGTCCATTATGGAGAAGAAAATTTTAAAAGTCAATATAATTTATTATTTTCAATGTTGTTTTTCATTTATGATGTCTACATTAATACAGAAAACACCAAATTGTCATTTAATCAGTTTGCTCTTTGAATATAATAATTTAATTTTCAATTAATTAAGGTTTTGGCAGAGATAAAAAGGTTAGTGTTGGCGGGATTCGAACCCACGACCTTCGGCTCAGTACACCGCTGCTCTACCACTTGAGAGTTCAAATCGCGCTTGTGACAATGAGTTTTTTATCTCCAACAAAACCTTAATCAATTGAAAAGAATTTAATTGGTCAAGCAGACCATGAAACCTAATAAATGTAATAATTTAAGTTGAAATACACTTTAAATTGTATGTTAAGTTGGTTTGATTGTTCTTGTTCTTTAAACTTTTATTCATTATTAATACAATATCCTTTTTTCCAGAAATAAAGTTTTTCTATTAATTAACTGCCATGAAATAAAACCCCCCATCAAGCCTTTACAGAAATGCCTTCATAATGAAGATTATTGACCTTTTTTCTCAGTTTTTCAATTAACAATTTAAATTATATATTTATTGTTTTAATCGTTGCACTCTTGAGATGTTTAATATTAGCCTCATCTGCACATCGTTCTCTGTTATTAATTTGGCTTGAAATATGGTTGTGGTGGAGCCCAGTGTCATGTGATGCTCAACTTCTCAAAGATACCTATTATGTCTGATCCCATACAGTTTACTACCTTTGAGGCATCATTATACCATGTAAGAGTTCTAGGTTTTTCGGTGGGGTTTAGATGGGGAGTTGATGTCTGAGTGGATCGAGGTCACGATAGCTCAGGTGGTAGAGCAGCGGCGTATCTAGCCAAAGGTCGTGGGTACGAATCCCTCTCGTGCCATTAACTTTTTTTCATTTCAACTAAAAACCTTAATTAATTGTCATGTAATAATTTAAGTTGAAATACAGTTTTAATTGTACTTTAAGTTGATTTGATTGTACATATTCTTTAAAGTTTTATTCATAAACAACAATAAAAAAAATTCTAAAATTAAAAGATTCTGTTAAATAAATTTCAATACACCTTACATTTTAAAAACAAAATTAATATTAATCTCAAGTCTCAAGAAAACTTTGGAAGAAATATTCTTGATTAAAGGTAATCGATAGAGAAGTGAAGAAGAAGGCTCTGTTTATGAATAATCTATTTATAAACAACCAATATTTTGATGCAAGACTCCGTCCCATCATTTTCACTGAAACAGTCTCTAGATGTTAATATAAAACTAAAACATTGCAGCCCAAAGAGAATTTCCTCGAAAACTTTCCAATAAATTCCATATCCAACAAACCAACCCAAAATATGCTAACCTACCATAGCATATGGACACTAATAAATTTCTTAATAGCTTTTGTCTTCTCTCAATAGTGTTAGCTTCTGTTTGTCCCTTTATGATTGAATTGGCTACCGAAAAATCCCAGCACATTTTATTTTAATAATTTGCACTCAAAAGATTATTGGTTGTTTTTGCTTTTCTTATTTGTTTAATGGAATTGTAAAACTTTTCTACCAGTAGATGCTCTCATTGTCAACATCCCTGCATTCCAAAATATCAATCATCCCCTCAACATCCATAGATTCTCCTGTAAAGAACTTAACCTGGTAACCTTCATGTTCATATTCATTTTGAAAGATAACTTGGTCGAGGTTGATCTCTACCACAGTGTTGAACAGTCTGTGTTGGACACTGTCATAAAATAGTCTGTGGTTGAGTACATTGATTTAAGAATCCACTGCCCGTATTCCCTTTCAGGGCAAGGCCGAAGGAAGACATTAAGCACAATAAGATCCCCTAAACTTGCATCCCATTTGAATTAGTTTAGTGATCGTGGTCCGCCGGTATGGGGTCTCCCTTAGGTACGGCAGGGAGGTGGATGGGAAAAAAAAATACTCAACTTACTAATTTCCCATAAATATACACATCATCAATTTTCATTTTGTAGGTGACAGAGAACATTTCATCACTGGTGAAAATATCCTTGTAGATCCTCATGCTGTGTAGTAAAGAAAAACATCCCAGATTTTAAAATAAAAAACACCAAAGAGATGGGGAGAACATCTCTGAGGAGTGAGATCGGAAAAACAATTATGCTGTATTATAAAAAGCAATCATTTATGCTTTATTTTTTATTTGTTAGTCTTTATTTAATTAAACTTTCTACACTTTACGGAATGTCGTAGCCAGACACATTACATGCACAAACCTTTCACTTCAGCCCTTACATTCACATAATATAAAGATACATTTATATAAAAAAAGATGGTATATACTGAGGTACTAAGATTTCATCGAAGAATGAAAAGCATTAATCTAATGCTGGCCATATAAATTTATTGGAAACTTGGACAAATGACAGCGAAAATCAATTCTAAAATTTCAGAAAAAATACTAATGTTTAAAACCCAAAACTCAAAATAAAATTGTAACAGAGCAGAATGTAAAGATAAAATGAAAAGTGAAAAACCTAGAGCTCTTCTATGATACAAAGATGTCTTAAAGATAGTAAACTGTATGAAATCAGGCATAACGGTCTGACTATGAGAAGTTACTGTCTGACTAAGAAGAAGAATCACATGGCACTGGGATCCACCACAATCATATTTCAAGTCGAATTACTAGACATAAAACCATGTGCCATAACATTAAGCAACAAGAGTGCAACGATAAAGGCAATTATTACATGATTTAAATTGTTCAATTTAAAAAATTTAGACAAAGATAAATATGAAGGGATTCTGTAACTTTGAAGGAAATACTGAAACCAATAGGTACATGTTTTGAATAAATTGCAGGGAGAACTTGAAAAACTACAGTCATCAAAATTTAAACAATAGACCAACAACAAAGGTTACTGATTTACTCATCTTCTCAGTGATTGTACATTCGCTTTCTTTATATCTAGGCAAATGAGCATTTAATAGTTCACATTTCAATTCATTTTAATAATTAATAGTCCACATTGTCACAGAGCTTGACAAAATTTATTCCCTATTGATAGGTTGAAAAATTCCAAGATCTCCGTGGTTGAAAACTTTTATTCAATTTAGTTAATTACATGTACGTTTCGGGCTCCTGGCTTATCATCAGAAACTAAACTTAGAGAAATCTCATGGTACAATTCACAATCTGAAGGCACACCCATCAGTAATTTCCAATTATTTAAATTTTAAATTTCTTCAGATTGTGAATTGTACCATATTTCTCTATGTTTAGTTTTGATGATGGGCCAGGAGCCCGTAACATCATGTAATTTACTAAATTGAATAAAAGTTTTCAACCACGGAGATCTTGGAATTTTTCAACCTATCAATAGAGAAGATATGAACTGTGGAGTTGGTAATATATAAAATAAGAAAAATTTATTCCTCCTGCATTACATATTTATCCTTTGAATTATGAAACACAAGGGCCCCAGATCTAGCCTGCAGTGATTTGGAATGACCTAGCCAGACACATTCTATCCACTACCCACTACTTCCGCCCTTATATTTACGTATGGTAAAGACTGAGGTACTATGATTTCATCTGAAAACAGTGAAAAATCAAATGCCGGACATATAAACATTTTGAGAACTTTGATAAATGTCATAGCCAAAACCAATTCAAAAATTCGGAAAAAATACTAATGTTTAAAACCCAAAATTCAAAATAAAATTATAGCAGATTGAAAATTGAAAAACCTAGAACTCTTACATGGTATAATGATGCCTCAAAGGTAGTAAACTGTATGGGATCAGACATAATGGGTATCTTTGAGAAGTTGAGCATCACACGACACTGGGCTCCACCACAACCATATTTCAAGCCAAATTAATAACAGAGAACGATGTGCAGATGAGGCTAATATTAAACATCTCAAGAGTGCAACGATTAAAACAATAAATATATGATTTAAATTGTTAATTGAAAAACTGAGAAAAAAGGTCAATAATCTTCATTATGAAGGCATTTCTGTAAAGGCTTGATGGGGGGTTTTATTTCATGGCAGTTAATTAATAGAAAAACTTTATTTCTGGAAAAAAGGATATTGTATTAATAATGAATAAAAGTTTAAAGGACAAGAAGAATCAAACCAACTTAACATACAATTTAAAGTGTATTTCAACTTAAATTATTACATTTATTAGGTTTCATGGTCTGCTTGACCAATTAAATTCTTTTCAATTGATTAAGGTTTTGTTGGAGATAAAAAACTCATTGTCAGAAGCGGGATTTGAACTCTCAAGTGGTAGAGCAGCGGTGTACTGAGCCGAAGGTCGTGGGTTCGAATCCCGCCAACACTAACCTTTTTATCTCTGCCAAAACCTTAATTAATTGAAAATTAAATTATTATATTCAAAGAGCAAACTGATTAATTGACAATTTGGTGTTTTCTGTATTAATGTAGACATCATAAATGAAAAACAACATTGAAAATAATAAATTATATTGACTTTTAAAATTTTCTTCTCCATAATGACATAGTATTAGTGTAAATTTTCATTAATATGTGATTTTTTTGGGACAGCAGGAAATGGTGAGCTGATCTATCGGCCAAGTCCATATCCTAGAAAAAGAATAAGTGAACAAATATGGAAAATAAATTGATTAAGAATTAGGACTATTGAGAATAATACCAAAATTGTTATATATAAATCCAATTATGAAATTGTTCTAAAATGTTTTTACACTTGCATGTTATAATTTTTATAAATATACTATTTGCATTGGTTAATACCAGAATGTACATTTAATTTTGCTGTAATCTGTCTGCCATCTGCCAGCTCCATGTCCTAGAAGCAAAATCATTTATCACACATGCAAAAGGATATGATTTATTGAGTGTAATTGTGAAATGATTACTTACAATTCAGCAGTTCTAAATATACTGAAAACTGATTAAATCATGAATTTATTATTAATATTTATTTGTATTTATTCATTATGTATAACTGAACATAATTACTTTTTGCTATTTTTTGGTAATAGGCAGAAAATGGTATTGTTAATTTTGTAAAATGACATCCAAATCACCATCCTAGAATCAAAATCATGAATGAAATATGAAGAATATCATGAATTTAAATGTATAATTGATTAAGTTGGCCACAAGTATTAACAAATCTTCATGATGTAGAAATTCTGGTAGATGTAATAATGTCATAATTTGCTTGCCATCTCCATACCCTAGGATCAGTATCAATTATCAGCATGAACATGATTAACAAAGTCTAATTTTGAAATTATTATTTCAATTATTTACATAATTTTGAAAGAGCTGTAAAATGTTCAAAGAATAGGGAATAAAATAAATAGTTTATTTTATTGAGAAAACTAAGCTGAAAAAAATTGAGTCATTTCGAAAAATGCTGTAATGCTAAAAAACAAACTATTTTTTTAATTATTTTTAGGATGTGTCGCAATAGCAGAGAGCCCTTGAGGTTTCAAATTTTTTTAAAAAAGTATGTTGGGTTAGAATGCTGGGCCGCTGGATTTGAACCGGGACCTGTATACTTACAGTGATGACCACGTCGCCTCCCCTAAACCGTAGCTCTTGGCAAAGCATTGCCAGCTATCACACACATTTTCCTTTTATATTTGTACTTAATGTTGAATAGAAATAAGCATTCTTATGCCAAAATTTCAGAACATTGCTGTAGAATTCTTAATGGTCAGATTAGTTAAAAACTAAAGATTTTCAAAATGTCTAACTTACAAAAACTGGCTTACAATTTAAATTTTTTAACTTGCTACCTAATGACAATAATTTATTGATTTTCCATTTTCAATCATTTAGTTTCTTTGATGACTCATTCGATTTGTACAGATCAAAAAGTGAAAGTAATTTTGTTTGAACTATCAATCAATTTAATACAAAAGAACCAGAATCACTTAGCATTTTTCAAAAAGAAAGGCTTATTAAAAAAATGCTTACAACATTTTTGTGATTTGCAGTTTCTCTTCAACTTACATGATTGTTCAATTTCAATTCTTTTTAAATTAATATGATGATGACAAGAAAACTAAGCTCATCACCAGCCCTTTGTTCCTAGTTTCTTCCTTTCTTGAACTTTTGGGCATAGTTTTCACATACAGTGTGAATGAAACCATTCAATTTCTTTTCAGGTCTTATTTTTTTTATTTATTTATTTTTTTCTGACCCCCTATTGGGATCAGAAAACGTAACCTACAAACAAATTGTAATATAATTAGAAATCAAATGAATATACAAGCAAAATGAAATAGCACTGAGACAAAGAATTAAAACTGAAACAAAAACATTATTATATTTGCAAAACTAAGATTGATAAAAACTGTTACAAATTAAAAAAAACCTTACTCACTCCTCTTCTTCTACTTTTAGGACTAACTGGAGGGACCAAACCTGATTGCTCCTGTGCCATAGATTACAGAAAGGAACATTCAGAGACGTGACAACTTGCTGATTGAAGAAAAAGGCAGAATTTAGATGAGTCGAGTGGAATCGATTGTGCCGAGTTGGGCTATGGATTCTACAAACTCTATCTACCTGAAAACAATTGCTGTTATAAACAGAAGCACGGTTCACATGTTAAATGAAAAGCATAATTATAACATTACTTACAATTTCTATGTTCTACTTCCACTTCTAGACTATGCTAAAACCCTGCAATTATGCCCTTCATTTTTATTGTCCCCCCCTGAATTGAATGAATACCTGAAAATATATTATTTGATCTATGTTGTCATGTAATACCTATGTTAAAAGATGCAAGGTAGACAATCATCAGTATATATTATATAATAAATAGGCTATAGAAATTAAATAATTGTAAATGATTGTTTTTCTTACATTATGCCATATGACTATGAATGTTTTTGCGGTCATGACCTTGTGCTACTAAAAACTCTACTTCCTCACTCCATGTACGATCGATCCCACGCTCCTCATCTAATTTCTGTCTCAAGCGGAACTCAGCAAGTTCTCTACGCCACTGAATGTATTTATATAACCTATAGCCTGAATATGCAAGCAGACCAGTGCCCCCAATTAGTCCAGCCACTTTAAGAAAAAACGACTTATCAACCATTTTAATNAACGCAAAAAAAAATCAAAATAAAATTTGTCTTTTTCAATGTAAAAGACTCGTAGGCACATTTTTTACGTATTTTTCAAGAAAAAAGCAAAAAAAAAAATTGTTATTGTCTTTTTCGATGTAAAAGGCTCATAAGCACATTTTATTTACGTATTTTTCATAAAAAACCCAAAAAATCGAAATTAATATATATCAATCAATAATGATGATGGTATTTGAAATCAAGTTCTTTCCAATTTAATATTTTAACTAGTGTCAGCCTAAATATTTTACAGAATTTTGGGATCGTACTATATTACTAAGGAAAATGGGTTTGTGTACTAATTTTCTATTTGTGAAGTTAACATATACCAATTTGTGGTGATTTATTTTGTTCTTCCAAGCCTGTACAGTCATAGATGGTGACTGCCATTTTTCACCTGATTCATGGTTTTGATGGTTATGTTTTCCATATGTGGTATGTCAATTATGTATAGCAAATGCAGTACGGGGCCTATGATATAACCTTGTGGTACACCTGCTTTAATTTAGGGCAAATCTGTAACTTGGATCAATCTTTCCAAAAAGAAACAAAACAACACAATATCCTGGAATTTTTCAACTTCCGTAACTTTAACTTTACATATTTTCAGTACACTGTTTTTTTAATTATATATTTGACAGCCTGCTTGTGAATTTTTTAATTTAACAACTTTTTTTGCATACGACCTAAAAAAAGAAGTTTAACCTATTTAAAACGCAAATTGTCAACTAGTACACTGTTATGAATTAAGTTTATTATAAAAATTTGTTTCTGTTCTGAGTTTGCCACTTGATATTTTACGCCTCTATGCTGAATTGCAGCAGAAGTATCGAAAGAAAAAATTCGCAATAGTTTCCGAATATTTAAAATCCTTTGTACAAATTGTTTTTAATGGACATTTTCGTTTTACTCCTTGCTTCTCTTCCTGTAAACATAAAAATTATTATTAAAGTTAAATAAATTATTACATATTTAAGTTTTATTTGGTTATTTTAATTATTGTCTTTTTTCAATGGAGGCTACTGACAATGGAGTCATATCAGCCTCCAATGCACTGTGAGGGCCAATGAGGTACTCAAACTCCACCCCCCCAAACTCGGCCCTCACACTTACTTCACATACTTATTCATACAAACGCACACCCATATTACAGAATGGGCTACTCCCTTTTCCCTTGAAAATCGGAACGAAGGACCCAACAACCTAATTTCAGGCCCAAAGACTGTTTTTGTATTGTATACAATGTCTACTCGCTCCCTATAAGGGACCAAGGCTTGGCACTGCTCAACCAAGTGACTCACGGAGCCTTTTTTTACAAGGGGGTTTTGCCCCAAAACGGGTAGATGTAGATGTAGAAATAATTTCAGGGTATAGTGTACTGCGCCCTTTAAGAGCTTTTGTATCCCCCGTGCTCTGCCTAAAGCACATCGGTGAGTCCTATTTCACCAAGAAACTTGATTAATAGATTCAGTTTCAATGGTTGAAGCTCTTCTACGGTCACATTATACATTCCAAAACATTTCCTCCTGTGGGCCAGTGTAGCTCCGCAGTTTGTTAGTAGATATGTTTGTGTCTCTTCTGCCTCTTTGCAGAATCTGCATGTGCCATTTTGGATTATTCCAATCTTCTTTAAGTGTCCGTTTAACTTGCAGTGTCCTGGTAGGAATCCTATTAGGATTCGCAGTTTATTCCTGCTTCCCTTGACACATTCTGTAATTTTTTTTCTTCCAAAATTTGTTAGGAGATTCTTGGATTGCCTGCGTCCAATGAGTGAATTCCATTATTCCTTGATTTTCTTTTTGTCCTTCTGTCTAAGATACTCGTTAATAGTGTGGGTTCCTAGGCCACAGAAGGGTTCTGGTACTGTCAGCGGTGTCCGCTTTCTCGTTGCCTTCTACAACTATGTGTCCTGGGACCCAGCAGAGGCTGACAACCTCAAACGGGTAGCACGATCCCTTCTTTTTTTTCAGACTCTCAAGGGGGACACTGTTCGGTCATACTCTTGACACACTATTATATTTTATATATATTATGCATGGTGGGCGACGACGACCCAAGGGGTTAAAAGCCTGGGTAGACTCGTACCCCATCCCTAAAAGGTCCGGGACTTGGTCGGCTCACGTATCCTGCATAAACCTCTTGGACTTGTTCACAAACCCCAAGATTTTGGACCATTTAATCTCGGGGAGTGATCTGGTGATGTCTTCTCCTTCAAAGATTTCAAATCTAGACCTAGCATACCTATCACATTCTGCGAGGTAGTGCTTTGCCGTTTCTTCTTTTATTTCGCAGAAGCGGCAAAAGGGATCTGGTAGGATACCCATTACGAAGAGGTGTCTTCTCAGTGGGCAGTGGCCCGTCAGAATACCTATCAGCCTCCTAATTCCCTTCCTTGAGATAGAGAATAGCCATTTCGATTCAGCTGGTTTGATCGCCTTAACAAACTCTTTCGATTGCCCGTGTTCGGGGGATAAATTCCACTCCCTAAGGAATTGTTTCATGCCCCAGTTATTGATACTCTCTTTCGCTGTGCTCATAGAGTGAGGTAATACCGGTCGTGGCCCGACAAACGCAGTATTAGAACCTTCTTTGGCTAGGCCATCTGCCTTTTCATTGCCATGGTGTCCTTTATGTGCTGGTATCCAAATAAGGGTTTCCTTGCTCTCAAACCTGAAAGAGATCCTATTGATAAGATCTATAGTTTCCTCCACCAGTCGTGAGGTTGACAAATCTTTTTGCAATGCCCTAAGACTAGCCTGACTGTCAGAAAAGATTTTAATATCTTTTCCCATAATTTTATTTTCCATAAGTGTTCTACAACACACATTGATGGCCCAGATTTCCGCCTGAAAAGGAGGTGTTATTGCCAAGAGGGGAGGAGATGCTGATTCCTAATTTTGCAAGATTCCTGCACCACTCCCTCTACCTTTGATAAGTGAACCATCTGTGTAGCAGTCTATGTTACGATGGTCATCATCCAGACTATAATCATAATCACAAGGGGTGACCTGAAAGTGCTTTTTGAAGGGATTTTAATATTTTTATCACTAATGCTTAATAATTGACCGTTAACCTTACTCAATAGTTAAGAGATTTTAGAGTGACCTATGTTATTGCACTTATGATTCCAGCTGCCCTCGCTAATTAATCTGTAGCAGCTGATTAGTGCTCTGACCTTAACCTCAATGTGAAGTGGTGTGATATTGGTTATGATTTCAAATGCTAGGGTGGGTGTAGTTGAAAATGCTCCTGTCATCATCAAACAACCTAGTCTTTGAAATGACCTTAATTTATTATTTATTCCCTTTACATTCTAGACCTTTCCACCACACTAAAGCTGCGAAAAAGAATCTAGGTAGAATAATTGCAGTATATAGCCATTTGGCAACCCATGGTTTGATGCCCCATGTTTTACCGATAATTCTCCTACATTGTACCATTGATATAGTGCCTTTCCTGTATATGTTATTAATATGACCTTTCCAATCAAGTTTCCTGTCATGTGTCAAGGAATTTGATTGAATCCACTAACTTTAATTCTATGCCCTGACATTTACGGTTTTTAAAATTACCTAATGTTCTTCTCCTGCTAAACATTATCAATTCTAGTTTAGCAGGTTTAATTGATAAACCTTTGTCACTACACCACCCATAAAGTAATCCCATGGCGTTTTCCATCAGTAGTGAAAGAGTCTGGGGATCCCTACCTGTGAGCATTGTGGTACCATCATCTGAAAATAATTGACTGTAGAAGCCTGAATTATTCAGAAGTTCTATTAAGCTGTTTACTGTAATTAGTCATAAAAGAGGTGACAAACAGCCTCCTTTATACTATTACATGTTATTATTTCTATATTTGTAACTGACTCATTTTACAATGCTCAGTGAACTTCCTCAAACTGTATGTAATTTTTGCTGAATTGTGTCCAACAGACAAAACCAGAGGGTAAAGATAGGTCAAGATTATCAGGGAAAATCACACATTTTAACATTTAATGAAATGACTTTACATAAGGTGAAATTATTCTATGTATCAAAGCTCACAATGAAATAAGAAGCTCAAGAAATTTTAAAGATCTTTAAAAAACAATTAAAATTAAACGAATTTGGGTATATGGCATCTAATGTCACTCAAGTGCTAAAAATAGTTGTAGATAGTTTATTTGTAATTAAAGAAAACTGTAATTGATTTTTATGAATTTTACCTTAGAACAAAGCACCAATTGTTTTTCATTATCCCGTGTCTGTTTAATTTAGTCTGCTCAGTCATCATTGTATCATTTACGCATAGCAACAGAGTGTAGTAGCTTAGCGAAATAAAGAGCCATAGAAGCTGAGGGCATCCCTGTGAGAAAAAAAAAGTGTGATGAGCTTTAAGTATATAAAAAAGAGTTTTTGATATTTGAACCAGAGGTGATTTTGTCATACGTTATCACGATACAGACCTCCATTCCTGATATTTTTCCTGGACATCGTCCTTTTCCCCTCTTGTTTCCAGTTGAGTAAAGCGCAAAGCGAATGCCATCACACCCGTCACCAGCGATGCAACTAATACGAATAGTGTTTGAGCTGGCGATTTTTCAACCATTATTATTCTAAAGGAGCACAACGGAATGAAAACAGATGCCGAAGTATTTCTCAGTGAAATACCATTTGTTTTAACAAGTGTACATTTTGGGGTTTTTTTAATTTATCCTTGAGACTGGAAAAGTTTCTATGGAAACATTTTTTTTTTTTTCATAAGTACATTCATTGGTTAAATGGGTCAATTTCTTTTCGTACATTCGCTAACATGTAATTTTTACTTTAATTAAAATTTCTATAAAGCTATTAAATATACTACTAACCAATGATTATCAGCTTTTGGTTTTGTCATGCTTTTTGCTTTTTAGTATTTCACCAACCCTTAGCACCATCCAATAAGAGGAAAACGCACAGACCAACCATTGAAAATATAATATAATGTACAATTATATTTGTCTTCACCTATTAATTTTATAGAAAAATTACTTTTAAAAACAAAAAATATATAGTTTGACTTTAATTTTTATTCTTAGCAAGGTTTTTTTTAATACATACATCAAACTTGATACATAAATATTAATTCCGGAGGACAATTTCATACAAATTAAACTGTTACAATAATTTCTATGCATTCATGGATCCAACAAAAATTAAAAACAAAGGTAGAAACAATTGATTCCATAATTTTTTTTTAAGATACATCAAACTTGATACATAAATATTAATTTCATAAGCACAATTTTGTACAAATTAAATTGTTAAAATATTTTTGTGCATTCATGGATCAAACAAAAATTTAAAAAAAAAAGAAAGAAGAGGTAACAGTAAAATTGATCCATTGTGAAACAATTGATTCCCTAAATTATTTAAATTTTACAATACATACATATGTCTTTTAGACAAGTATAATTTACAAAAATATATAAAAATCTAAATGCAGTAATAATAATATATGTATAATCAGATATTAAAAATAAACATTATGGGTGACTAAAAAACCCTTTTTTATTTGTAACAAACAAATAAAAACATTGCTATCAGGAGACATCGCTCGAGTCTGCTGAGATGCTATGAGAATGAGACGTGTCGGAGAGCTGTGTCCAAGAAGAGCCGTGTGTAAGCTTGAAAATCTCGCTGGTACTCGTCATATCCTCTTGGTCGACAGCAAGCTCCGCCTGGTGCTTCATCTCAGCAAAGAGCTCCTTGAGCTCGTTTTTAAGCGAGCTGAGCCTTTCAGGGGATGTCTGGTGGAGTGAGAAGACCTGAGTGACGACGTGAGATAATTCTTCCGGCTTTTTCTCCCTTGTCTTCTTCTTCGTCTTGATCTCTTTTCGAACTGGCATTACCGTCCTGTTGTCCCCTCCTCCACTCGGGGCGATACAACTGAGCTTTTGCCAAGACCTGCCGAACAAATCTTATTAGCTTGGATTAAAAACAATTTAGCTAAAATAATCCATAATGGAGTAAAGAAGGAGAATAAAACAAAAACAAGAACATATTTGTTTTGATCAAATTGTGTTGAAAAAAAAATAAAAAAAATAGTGAAACCCCGTTTAACAGGCACTCATCCCTCTATAGCGACCACCTCTCTTAAAGGACAACTTTTGTTTTCCCCAGCAAAAAAGATAGGATTTCTTTATGTTCTTTATCATTTTAAACCTTTCTACAACAGAACCAGTCGCAGAAACAGTCCTCATCAGAGTGTGATGAGTTTTGTGCTACCCCTCTACAATGTACATAAAAATGTAAAAATATATTAATGGCTTAAATGAAATATACTCGACATAACATTTTAAAATTTTGTAAAAGTCAAAAATATTTAAGGAATATAATCTAGGTATGACACATTGGCACCCTTACTGCAATAATTCTAAACGTTTTTTATACTAGAATCAAATCTGTCTTTCTGCCCTTAGCCTGCCTTGAAGATGTCAATAAATTTGACGAAACATTGGCATACTTAAAAACGAAGTTTTTCTTTTACTTTCCACATCTACCTGACCAAGCATCCCAAACTTCAAAAGAATTTGAATCACAATTGTCATCTAGTCAACAAAAATAAATATACATTGAGCAAACAGCATATGAACTGTCATGGTTTACATTTTGAAGTTTTGTCTGCTACTTGCTTTTCGGTATTTTGCAGTGTTCTTGTGTCCCTAAATTTCTTTAATATTTTAAAAAATATCAAAACAACCAGAAAGCATGCATAGACAAGGATAGAATCATGGTACACCTCTTTAGTATTAAAAATGTTAATACAATATAGATTTACTTAGTAAGTGGGCTATCTTCTGATGATGTTGTGTTCGGTGATGAACAGAAGAATCTTGAAGCTTTGCTTCCCCCGGTTGTGTTCACGTCAGTCAGCTCATTTTGAGGGAAATCGACTTTTGCCTGACCTGTCACATTATCTCCCACCAATCTACAACAGACCAAATAATAAAATATGTTCACACTATAATAACCTCAACATACAGGACATCATTTTTCAACTGGGCTAGCTCTTGGTCCTTAAGGTTGAGAAGGACTTTCATCTTGTCTCTTTCAAGTTTTATCAATTCAAGCTCAGTTCTAAGCGATTCACGTTCTTGCGAAGCTGTCTTTAGCTCTGATGACATCTCAAAGACCTGCCTTTGTAACTTCCCTAATTCCTATTTAACAAAAATATATTAGATTAAAAATAAACCCCAGGTTGTTATCAATTATTAAAATACTTTAGTCTCCTCTTGCAGCTGTGAAAACTTATTTGTCAGCTCCCTCATAGAATCTGAATATCTGAAAAACAGCAATGAGACGCATTCTAACAGAAGTTAATATCAGATCCTCACTTTTCAATTTTCTGCGACATCGCTTCAGCCGAATTGTTGGCCTCATTGAGCTTATTTTTAAACTCAATCTCCCTCAGGAGTGCTTTTTGCAATTCTGTATTCTTCTTGAGAAGTTCTCTGTAAACAAGAGACAAAATAGTAATTCTCTAGCTAACCGGAAGGGTCTGTGAGGAAATTCAAGAAATATTAATAATTACACAAATAAAAATAGAATGAATGAATAAAATTAAAATACTAATAATAATGATTACTGTAAACAAAAATTTTTTTTTTAATTTATTCATTCTAGGTTTATTTTTTGCACAGGGAGATGGGGATTAGACGATAGATTTTTAGGAATTTCATTGCTGATTCTGCAGTCCATTGCTGGTAAATGAAATAAATATAATATAATAAATGAAATAGAAAAAATGAAATAATAATAATAAATGAAATAGAAAAAAAAATGAACTACATTGATCAGCGAGTATGCGCCGTGGAAAGGGAAGTAAAAAAAAACATAATCCTTCTTGGGTTATCGCATACATTTGCAAATTTAAATGAATTAGAATTTTTTGTATGCAACATAATAAATGAAAAAAAAATGGACTTGAATACCACACCAGATGATTTCGATTTTGTGAGGAGACTTGGAAACTCCAAAGAAGACAACAGGCAACCAATCCTAATTGGGCTGGTCAAATACAAAAAAAAAATATTGATCCTAAGGCCATCGGCTAAATTGAAAGGAACTAATATTTTTATTTCCGAAGATTACCCAAAGCTGGTACGGGAAAAAAGAAAAATGCTGCACCCCCAACTTGTAAAAGCACGGGCGGACGGCAAATATGCAGTAATCAGATACGATAAGCTGATAATTAGTGAGCCAATATCAGAAACAACTAAGGAATCATGTAAACAGCAGCTTTCAGGAGGAAATAAACATTAAAAAAAGGTTCGTAGGCAATTTTTTTACATATTTAAAAAAAAATGCAAAAAACACCCCAAAAAATTTATTGTCTTTTTCGATGTAAAAGGCTTGTAGGTCATGTTTTTTTACGTATTTTTCAAGAAAATGGGGGAAAAAAAATTGAAAAAAATTTTATTGTCTTTTTTACTGTAAAAGGCTTGTAGGTCACGTTTCTTTTACGTATTTTTCAAGAAAAAGCCAAAAAAAACCTAAAAAATCAAAAAATTTTTTGTCTTTTTCGATGTAAAAGGCTCATAGGCATGTTTTTTTAGGCATAGGCGCATAAGCAGATTTAAATGAAGTAGAATTTTTTGTATGAAACATAATAAACGAAAAAATGGACTTGAATATCACACCAGACGATTTCGATTTTGTGAGGAGACTGGGAAACTCCAAAGAAGACAACAGGCAACCAATCCTAATTGGGCTGGTCAAATACAAAATAAAAATATTGATCCTAAGGCCATCGGCTAAATTGAAAGGAACTAATATTTTTATTTCCAAAGATTACCCAAAGCTGGTAAGGGAAAAAAGAAAAATGCTGTGCCACCAGCTGATAATTAGAGAGCCAATATCAGAAACAACTAAGGAATCATGCAAACAGCAAAAAATTTATTGTCTATTTATTTATTAATTAAAAAATTTATTGTCTTTTTCGATGTAAAAGGCTTGTATATCACGTTTTTTTAACGTATTTTTCAAGAAAAATGCAAAACACCCCAAAAAAATTGGAAAAAATTGTATTGTTTTTTTTTTTCAATGTAAAAGGCTCGTAGGCACGTTTTTTACGTATTTATCAAGCAAAATGCAAAAAAAAAAAAAAATAGAAAAAAATTTTATTGTCCTTTTCAATGTAAAAGGCTCATAGGCATGTTTTTTTAGGCATAGGTGCATAGGCAGATTTAAATGAAGTAGAATTTTTTGTATGCAACATAATAAATGAAAAAAAAATGAACTTGAATATCACACCAGATGATTTCGATTTTGTGAGGAGACTGGGAAACTCCAAAGAAGACAACTGGCTACCAATCCTAATTGGGCTGGTCAAATACAAAATAAAAATATTAATCCTAAGGCCAATCAAAATAAAATTTGTCTTTTTCAATGTAAAAGGCTCGTAGGCACGTTTTTTTACGTATTTATCAAACAAAATGCAAAAAAAAAAATATAAAATTTTTTTGTTGCCTTTTTCGATGTAAAAGGCTCATAGGCATGTTTTTTTTTAAGCATAGGCGCATAGGCAGATTTAAATGAAGTAGAATTTTTTGTATGAAACATACTAAATGAAAAAATGGACTTGAATATCACACCAGATGATTTCGATTTTGTGAGGAGACTGGGAAACTCCAAAGAAGACAACTGGCAACCAATCCTAATTGGGATGGTCAAATACAAAACAAAAATATCAATCCTAAGGCCATCGGCTAAATTGAAAGGGACTAATATTTTTATTTCCGAAGATTACCCAAAGCTGGTAAGGGAAAAAAGAAAAATGCTGCGCTCCCAACTTTTAAAAGCACTGGCGGATAGCAAATATGTGGTAATCAGATACGATAAGCTGATAATTAGAGAGCCAATATCAGAAACAACTAAGGAATCATGTAAACAGCAGCTTTAAGGAGGAAATAAACATAAAAAAGGCTCGTAGGCACGTTTTTAATGTATTAAAAAAAATGCAAAAAAAAACCCAAAAAATAGAAAAATTTTTTATTGTGTTTTGCAATGTAAAAGGCTCATAGGCACGTTTTTTAGGCATAGGCTCATAGGCAAATTTAAATGAATTAGAATTTTTTGAATTTAAACGCCTATGAACTCTCCACCAGAAAAAAGTTTCCCTATCGAAGGGCACCAGAGACCACACAGGAAAACGAGTTGTCAGTAGATAGTACAAGTATTAAAGAGTCTCTCAAACGATTTGCTTATGAGTCAGGACCACAAGAGAACGAGCAACTCTCACGCAAGGCGAACTCCACAAGCTCGGACCATAGAGGGGCAAGATAGCAGCTAAAACACAGAATGCTGGATATTCTGGCTTATAACATACATGGAATGAAAACGGAATCTGCAAATTCGGATTGGAAAAATTATGTCAAAAATGAATTATGTAAAAAAAAAAGAGATAATTGTTATTAACTTTTGTTTTATTTTGGTTTGATTTACTTTATCTTCACTATATTATTTAAATTATGGTTTTACATTGGTATGAAGTGTAAAAGAATTTAGTAATTGTTTAAAAAGGAATATGATTTATGTACAATTGTAAATTAGCCCTAAAGTCTTTAGTTTGATATTATTATTCTGTCAATGAAACTTTAACTGTAATGTAATGCTATTAGTTTAAAAGAGAATTTTTTAATTATGAAATAAAAGAAATGTAATAGGTCGCAAGGTCAACTCACCCACAACGGTTTGCACAACCAGTGGCACTGAATGTCTACTTTTGTAGAGCATAATAACATTATTTAACAAGATTGTAAATAATAAAGACATTTATCTATCTATCTATTTCTAGCAAATGTGATTCAAGCTCAAACTCTCGTGAGTGAACTATCTATTTGTGTCAGTTTCATTGATCGGTTATTTACTCCAATCATGATCTCTGACGAAGCTCGCCGTGTTTCCATCACGTACACAGTCGTAATGCTCCAAAATTGATGAGGCAGAAGGATAACCTTCCGATGAGGACATTACTGAAGACAAGCCGAATGAAGAACTACCTTCAGATGAAGAAGCACCTAAGCAGGATCCAGCATGCTCGAATTTTATAAATCTCAGAATAGGTGCACGTCAAACAGCCAGTGTAAGTGGAATATCTAAAACGGCTAAGTGTACCACAGATACTTAGATTTGGGATTTGTAGAGGCTGACAGACGCCGGGGGAAACAGACTGATTTTTCATGAGGAAGCGCATTGAACTGGTTGCTTCTCAAACCTTCATTAAAATGCAATTAATGAAAACTCACAGAAAGTGTTTTATTTGATAAGTTATCGAATGGCACAGGCAGCTCATATTACAGCTGTGTTAACGATTTCGTATGTTGCATGTTTCACAAAAAGGAAATAAAATGTTCAGTATTTACTACATACTACCTATCTAATTTTAAATAATTGAATGAGATACGCCACCCTGCTCTATATGAAACTTGCAAATTATAAATACTTACTCTTTGAGAGTGTCTCGCTCTCCTTTCAACCTCATGCAAGATTCTTCCAGCTGCTTGCAAGACGCTTCCAAATTGTGGTAAGACTTCTCAATGTGCTTATTAAAATCCTCTTCTCGCCTCTGATGAGTATCCTTAGATTTAATTAATAAAACATAAAGGTTTAAAACAAAATGTCATACTGTTTAAAATAGTGCAAATAAAAATAATACCACTTTGCTTTTTGTAGGGATTCTCTTCTCCAACTTTTTAACTATTTTTTCTAAGTCGCTCAGAAGAAATTGCAGCTCGTGTTTTTCTGTAATAAGCAACAAACAAATATGTTTCTGTTATCTATCATGTTTGTTATCTTGTATACAAGACAAAATTAAAAATACCATTTATGCTTGACTTCTTTTTTAGCTCATTGAGAATTGAAGTAGCTTCAACGGTAAAAGGACAGTTGTGTTGTTGTATGACGTCCCTGTTTGTGTTTTCATCCGCCTGTGTGCCTTTGTTGGACAGCCGCCGTTTACCAATGGCGTTCTGCTCCTTGAGGATTTCAGCCCAGCGTTTTTTCTTTGATTTATCCCGCCCTTCTGAACAATCATCTCGAACATCGTCCTTTTGTGTATTACGTTTGTCCAAACGGATCGGAGGCGAGTGGGATCTGAAAAAATACCCAAAGCGTTTTTAAAAAATAATATACAATCGAGTTACAGGTTCATAAATTCACCACAATGTTGTATGAAAAAATAAATAAATAAAATAAAATCCATGAATTTTTAAAAGTATGTTATTGGAATTGTTCCATTAGATCACTGTATTTTCCAGATCGAAAGTTTTTCAGCCAGGCCATAATTTTCTTTCTATTGCTAATGGCAAAAATGCAGGGTAAGAAGTACATCTCATCTAAAATCTCACAAAAATTTTAAAAAAATGTGTAAAAGTTTCATTAAAGCTTTTATTTTACACAAGGGCATGGAAAAAATATTATCTAAAGAAAATCTATAGGCCAGATAAGCAGAAAAGCTCTTAAATATCAAGAGCGCTTGATGGGTGGCCTTTCAAAAGATCTGAATCTATTGATAGGTTGAAAAATTCCAAGATCTTCGTGGTTGAAAACCTTTATTCAATTTAGTAAATTACATGGACGTTTCGGGCTCCTGGCCCATCATCAGAAACTAAAAATAGAGAAATTTCATGGTATTATTCCTAATCTGAAGGATTTCTCTATGTTTGGTTTCTGATGATGGACCAGGAGCCCGAAAGGTCAATGTACTTTACTAAATTGAATAAAGGTTTCAACTACGGAGATCTTGAAATTTTTCAACCTATCAATAGAGAAGATATGAACCTGGAGCTGGTAATATATAAAATAAGATCTGAATCATAGAAGAATGATCGTTCTCATCCAGTTAAGGCCAAGTGAGGTTCACAGTGACATTTACTTTTGGGCAAAAGTCCATATTTTTGTTCAATATACAGAAAAAGGCTGCTTAATGCATGACATGTACCGATGGATGTTAGTTCATTGCTCCATCTAGAGCTAATATGAGAATTGTACTTGAGCATGGCAGTGACTCTTTGTGTTCTGTTCCAATTTTTGGAGATTGCTCTATTTGATATAGTTATTGTCAGCAATGTTTTTGTATTACATGAGATTGAGCATATTTATTAAAGTGAATGTAAAGTACGGAAGGGCTGATGGTAAAATATTTAGTTAGTCTAGGCACCATACTCAGGTCATTCCTCCCTGACAGACATTGGGGACAACATAATACTACTGTTTGGGTCCCAGGGCACACAGTTGATGGTGCCCATATCTAGTATACAGATGGATACAAAACCAAGGGGTCAGAAGCTGGCATTTATGGAAATAAACCAAGGACTAAAATTCATATAAGCCTTGGCCAATATGCCACTGTCATTCGAGTGGATACTGTGGCTTTTGAACACTGTGCCAAGGAGATTAAAACCTGAGGACAATTACCGCATCAGCGGTAAAGTCCAGAGTCATTTGGGATTGCGTAGAGCCCTGTCAGATTGGGAAAACAACAAAAATGTCTGATTAGCAGGGCACGCAAGGTAGGGGGACAATGAAGATGATAAATTAGTCAAGGAAAGTTTGTTGAAGACACCTATTGGCCCTGAACCTTTTTGTGGCAAACGTTGATCCATCAAACATGGGCTTTTGGTTTAAAGGGACTGTACACCAGGAGAGAGGAATGCGAAAAGTTTATTAAAGCACCATCACAGGAACTAAGCAGAACTACTAAATCTAGGACATGTCAGGATTAGAATAATAGTTAGACTGCTAACTAGTCACTGCAGACTCCGGAGGCATATTTATCCTCAGAACCAAGCCTGAGCTGGTATCACCAGGTGGATGCTTTGAGTTTGGCTACTTCACAAATATTCGTGCACTTTGACGCAGACAAACCGAAAATAAGCTGAGCGAGGCAAGCACCGAATATTGTTGCTCGGTGAATAACCGGATAAGCCGAACCTTTGCTCAGCATTAAGCGAATTCCACTTGTCCATCTTAAGGATAAGGATAGGAATAGGGAGAAAAGAGGTGGCCACAAGACGTACTGTATCTCAACCTGAATAGATCTATTGTTCTCCCCATTATTTATAACTCACTGACCAGCTTCAGGTTGTTAATCAGCCTCCATAGCTTTGCCAGCGGCTTCTTAGAGTAGGATCTTGCTTGTTGTTTTTCTTTTCCTAGTTGCAAGAACCTGCACTTATTTAGACCTTCACAGAAACATAAAATGTGTTCTGTGGTCTCTTCCTGTTCCTGGCAGTATCTGCACTGTGTTTCTTCTGCCTGTTCTATCTAGTGCATGTGCTTTCTTAAGTGGCAATATCCGTCAGGAAGAATTCTGGTTCGGTTGCGGTTTCCTTCCAGTAATTCTTTTGTAACTTTTGCCGTAGGTTCTTCCATGATTTTCTTTGCATGCCTAATACCTGTGGTGTTGTTCCACCAGGTTTTGTACTCATGAAGGATCCATTTTAAGACGTATCTTCTTTTATGGCAGGATGCTAAGGCACGTTCAGGACCCAGAGAGTCCATGTTGGCCCCCTTTTTGGCCAACATGTCAACTTTTTCCCTTGCCTCTATACCCCCAGTGCCCAGCAGAGTTGGGCAAAATCTAACTAATTCAATCATGATTAAGAATTTTGATTGAAGTTTTATCATGATTGAATTAGTCATGAGTAAATTAATCATTATATGATTTAGCCATGATTAATTCTATCAAGAGGTATGACTAAATCATACAATGATTAATTTACTCATGACTAATTCAATCATGATTAAACTTCAATAAAAATTCTTAATCATGATTCAATTAGTTAGATTTTGCCCCACTCTGTCTACAATGAACAACTTACCACAATCCAACAGACTCCGGATAAAAATTTTGAGATTAGAGTCGTAGAAGGACAACCTTCAAAAAGTGTTATCATAAACGAAAAGTTACATTCTACATATCTATTTTATTACAATCAAGACCCCAGATGGTGTATTTTCCAAATAATGTAGAAATCACTCCTTTCAAGTGGAATAAATTTTAATTAAAAGAAATATTTTTTCCATTGATCGGTTATGTAAACATATTTACTTTTCAAAGCGTAGCTTGTTCTAAAAAATTTTTTTTTTATTTTTTTATTATTATTATTATTATCATTATTTTTTGGCTTTTCATAACGACGTAGTTTTACCTATAATTAGAAGATTGATTTTTGTTAAATAAGGTGTTGAAGATTTTCGTTTTGATAAAATTAATTTCTGTTAGAAATTTTTTTTAAAGTGAAGTTGTGTATTTTTCAATTTTTGAGCACCCATTTAAAGAAGATTTATCGAAATTTAGTCATGACTAACTATATTGTGACTAAATTAGTCATGCCTCGTATTTAATTACTAGTCATGACTAATTTACCCATCAATCACATATGGTGACTAATGACTAAATTAGTCGCTTACTACCAATCATGACTAATGGTCTGAGTGACCAATCATTAATCATTAGACATGACTAATTTTTGCCCAACACTGGTGCCCAGGAACCCATGCCACGGTCAGGTCACTAGCATCACTTCTGTGCAGTTCCAAACCTCTTTGCCTTCACCTCGCATGAGGCTATTGCCTTTAGTGCTGCCTCTGTCAGATAAAATGCCCATCTTCCGGGAATGTATGCCCAGCTTTATTATTTTTCTGGCGCGTTGTAATCAATCACTATGATTTCAGATTGGAGAACTGTAGGATATTTACCAAGGTTTACCGTCAGTTCGGTCTTTGGGTTCACCCCGAAGACTCCTGCTGCCGTGCCCTTAAGGTAAATAAACCAAAGGCTGCAGTACCTGTGGAGCAAAAACCCCACTTCCTAGTCTCCAAACATCACCATCACACTCTGATCTTATTGTTAATAATGTTGTAGACAGATCAATCAGATTGATCATAATTTAAAACTAGGCAGAAAAAAAAGGAAATACTTCTCTCGGTTGACTTCCACGGTGACTCTTGCGTTTTCTACGTCGTAGACCTCCTTGGGCTTCTTCCTGGGCGAGATGTCCGTCTTCAGGACTGACGCAGAGTCCTTCCGGATGGGCCGCTGCGTCCGAGGTCGTTCGGGACTCTTCTGCTTCCTCCTCGGCGTAGGATCTTTGACCGGCTGGGCCCTCCGGACGAGAGTCTTGCAGACCTCTTCGTCTTCCCCGGCGCAGTAGCACCTGTGGACGGGGAACTCGCAGTTGTGCACCTTCTCCTTTCCCATTTTCGCCTCGAAATCGTCCAGCTCCCTGTCCAGACGCGAAATCTCCTCCGGCAGATCCTCGCTCATCGAACGTTTCACGACATTTATACAAACAATCGCTTCAAATCAAAGAGAGAGAGATTTAAAACTATTTCACTTTTTAACCTCCGCGCGGCAAAATCTATGCCTGAAGTCCTAGCTTCTGATCTCAGAGGTCATCACAAACCGCGGTGACATCTGTCCAGACAAGCTGAACTATACAGTAACGGTAGTACGGTACTGGTACCTGCAGTAGGAGGGCCGTTTGCGGCATACCGGGTCAAAAGTCACAACTATTGTTAGCAAACAGCAATATTTAAAAACTTATCGATATATCAAATTAAAAAAACAAAAAACTTGAGCAGATAACAAAGGAACCTGCCTTTCCATATCGATTTATAACAATCGCCCTCCAGAACCGTTATAGACATTATGACCAATGATCAAATAAACTTAAGAATTAACTATTAATATAACAGGCTGCTTTGGGGAACAAAAACCCAAACTTCTACTATCCATATTCATCATTATCACATGAAAAAAAGAACAGAATCTTGGATAACTAAAGAACCATGCAAAACAGGCATGAGGCAAGCACTACTCGAAAAAGAGAGAATTCCCTAACAGAAAGGAATTAAAAACTAACTGGTATATTTACAGGTCATACTAAAGTAACCAACTTCAAAAAACAACAATGTCGATTATGCCTAGAAGAGACAGGAACCACAGAACATATCTATGATTTGGAGTAAAATTGTCAGATATTGTTATGAGGCCTAAAGTGTGATATGACTGAAGAATCATATCTGATCAATGGTCAACCTACATGTATCAGTCAAATGGTATTTTGTCAGTTGTTATACCTCATAAAAAGGATGTACAAGAAAACTAATTATGATCAATGATCAACTAAAATAAAGTAACTATGCAGTACTAGGGGAACAAAAACTGTAACTTCTTGTATCCAAAAAAAATTTGAATCTTGGGTAACTAAAAAACCATGCAAAACAGGCATGAGGCAAGCAGAAAGACTACTCGCATAAACAACCCAGCATGAAAATGAGAGAATTCCCTAGATGTAGATGAAGATATAATTTCAGGGTATAGTATACTGCGCCCTGTAAGAGTTATTGTATCCCCGTGCTCTGCCTAAAGCACATTGGTGAGTCCTATTTCATCAAGAAACTTGATTAGAAGGCCCGGTTTCAATGGTTGAAGCTCTTCTATGGTCACATTATACATTCCAAAACATTTCCTCCTGTGGGCCAGTGTAGCTCCACAGTTTGTTAGTAAATGTGTTTGTGTCTCTTCTGCCTCTTTGCAGAATCTGCATGTGCCATTTTGGATTATTCCAATCTTCTTTAAGTGTCTGTTTAACTTGCAGTGCCCTGTTAGGAATCCTATTAGGATTCGCAGTTTGTTCCTGCTTCCCTTGACACATTCTGTAATTTCTTTCCTTCTGAAATTGGTTAGAAGATTCTTGGATTGCCTGTGTCCAATGAGTGAATTCCATTGTTCCTTGATTTTCTTTTTGTCCTTCTGTCTGAGATACTTGTTAATAGTGTGGATTCCTATGTCACAGAAGGGTTCAGGTCCTGTCAGCGGTGTAGCCCAGCAAGGATATCTGCTTTCTCGTTGATTTCTACTCCCATGCATCATGGGACCCAGCAGAGCTTGACTTTGTTCTGCATACCTAATATGTTTAGTTTGGTTTTGCAGTTCAGCACCATCCTAGAACTAATGATATTTGAGCTTAGTGCTTTGATGGCCGCTTGGCTATCTGACTGATAGCTATATCCTTGTTTTTGTACCCTTCACTTAGGTTGAGTTGGGTACATCTTTCGATTGCATGAATCTCAGCTTGGAAGATACTGGTGTATTTTTCCATGGGTTCAAGTATTTGGTTCCAGGTCCAAATATTCCTGCCTCTATACCTTCTTGTGTTTTATATTCATCTGTGTACCAAAGGATGGTGCCATTCTTAAAAGAGGTCTTTTCCTCTCATTCCCATTTTCCTGTTCATGTTTTCTTTGGGGCCATGAGTATTGGATGGCATTTCCATAGTTTGTTGCTATCTTTCCATTTTAGTTTTATTCCTGTTGGAGGTTTCTCTTTGGTAAAATTAATGATAGTTTTCTGCGCTGTCCTTACCACGTGGTGTAGGGGGATTAATCCCAGTTCCTTTTTCCATGCTAATTGTAGGACATGTTCTCATTGCTCCCGTTATACAGATGCATGCAAGTCTCTGTAGTTTTGTGAGTTCTTTTCTTTTAGTTACTTGTGCTGCTTTATCAGCACTGGCTATAGCTCTGTATGTGTACATCCATAGCAGGGTTTCTGGTCTGCATCCCCAGTTCCTTCCCGCTATTCTTCTGCACACCATCAAAGCTCGCGTCACCTTCGATTGGTAGAGCTGATGTGTTCCTTAAATGGTAGTGTTTTATCTAATGGGATGCCCAGATTTTGACTTCTTTTTTTATTTCTATCATGGTGTTATTGAGTGTTATTTGCCTCATGTGATCAAGTTTCCTCTTCTGAGTAAAAACAACCCAGTATGAAAAAGAGAAAATTCCCTAACAAAACGGAATTAAAAACTCTAACTGGTATATTTACAGGTCATACATCAGTAACCAACTTAAAAAAATGTAACTATCAACAAATAACCAATGTCGATAATGTCTAGAAGAGACAGGTAGAACAGAACATATTTACCAACTGGTGTGAAATTATTGTCAAATATTGTTGTGAGGCCTAGATGGTGATATGACTGAAGATTCATCATACCTGATCAATGGTCAACCTACACATGCCAGTCAAGTGGTATTTTGTAAGATAATTTTTAAATAAAACACTATTCATTCATTTCTGCCCAGTCTCGTCTTTGTCTAAAAATCTCCCTCTCTCTCACAAATGCTCTCATTTTCACTCTCTCTCTCTCTCTCTCTCTCTCTCTCTCTCTCTCTCTCTCTCTCTCTCTCTCTCTCCATGTGTGTGTGTGTTTTAATGTATATATTTCGACTTCTTTAGCCTATATGTACTTTGTACTTGAATGACCATAAGCAAAACGGACGAATTGAGTTTTAGCACTGCAGAAAATACTGAGACCTAGTGAAACTGTTCCAATAACAAACTTTTAAAAATTCATAGGTTTTTGTATTTTTTTTATGAGGGTATTTCAACTACAAGGTTATATAAACCTTTGGGGCACCAGTGTTTTAAAAAAAAAATGTATGTCTGCCACCATTGTGGCCACCAACGCCCCAAATTAAGTTTTAAAATGACATATATCCAAATTTATGTAACTTATAACTTAATTCTAAAACCAAATTTTTCATAACCTCAAAATAATGATAGTAATGCTTAGATGAGTGAATTTCTATGTTTAATTTTTTTTATAATATATTTTCTTGTTGATTGTATTGTCTGCGTTATATACAATTTCATGTTTTTAAGTTTATGTGGGAGGATTATGGTAATTCATAAAGCAATAAAAAAATAAGGAAAATATTTAACATATCTTTTTAATACATTTCAGAAATAACAATTGTATTAATAACTGGTAGATTATTGAATTCATTTTAATTTTGATAAAGATATTAATTAATATCTTCGTTTAGGACTGAAGGGGCTTTTGTAAATATCTGCTATAGAGTCAGTCAATTCCTGTAAACATAGAATTATGACAAAACTATAAAAACAAACTTTCTATCTTATTGTTACATAGAACATAATACAAGAGAACAACAGTTAAAATTACAAAAATAACAATTATAACGACATATAGATAAATTTTACTGACACTTCCTGGCATTCTATCTCTAACGATTTCTTTGAAATCTGGTTTGTAAGTTTCTATTTCAATTTCTTGTACATTCACGCTAATATTGTCTTCGTATTGAATCATAGATTGGGATCTGAAATTGAAATGAAAATGAAATTTAATAATTAAACAGTTCTAAAATGTAATGTAATATGCATTTACTTTTCTGTTTCAGGCAGTATAGCACTTTCCATAGCTAGGCCGTCAACTTTTGAAGTACAGTCAAAGGCTTCCATTCTCAACTTGAAATCTGTGACTTTGAAGGCAAAATCGGCCAAAGCGTTGGAAACTTCACAGAATTGATTCAAACTAGAATTCCTCGCGGATAATATCGTTTTGTCTATCGACATTTTCAATGTTGACCAAGTTGCCTTTAGACATTTTATTATTTCAATTAATTAAATTATTACAATCTAATAAAAAGTTTATTATTTAGCTTCTAGCTCTTAGGAAACTTTTTACATTAAATTATTCAAAATGTGAACTTGTTACTGATTACCTCTAAATCCTTTCCATATTTCTCAAGCCTGTATACAGTGTCAAGCTGGCTAATTGTAACAGGGCGGAGGGAAAACTGCAGGAAGAAAAGCTCGCCTTCGTATGCTCGGTTGGCAAAGAGTAAAGCGTGTATGTAAGAAGTGTCTAAATAAATCGCCCCATCCCATGATTTCAATCCTCCGATGCAACCTGAAAGTAAATCTTCTCCTGGGGAAAAGATTTAAAATTGTTTAAAAAACAGTCATTCTCAAGGACTTATAATATTTGAAAATACTTTTCTTTATCTCTGTTATATTCACTATCTTTTGGCATCGAGGACTCTCCATTTTAATCCATTTCTGATCCATGGTTTCCCTAAATCCAAAAACTGACACCTCTCCGTCTTTGGATTTTCCCAAAATTAGCACATCGTTCTTTCTGTTGTTTACTCTTATTATCAACAGCTCAAGTCCTCTGCCTGTTTATTGAATATATTATGTAAATAAATAAGAAAAATAAAGAGAGTGTAGTAAATTAATTTGTTTAAAGACAGTTCAACAAATATAGAAATAGTGTAAGATTGAAATTTATTTTTTAATAATAATCTTATGATATAATTGAGATGATCAAATTGCAGAATATATATATATTTTTTTAGTATATACAGTGTTTTTCTTGGACTTTTGTTATAATTAAATATGTATAATTAAAAACATTTTGTTTACCTAAAGTGCTGACTATTTTCACAGTTCCATTCTTGTCAAAGGAATAGATAGTGGCAATTTCTCCACTTGTGGCCAGATAGGTAGTACCCCTCGATGTGAACCATTCGGCCTGTTTCGACAATTGAATGCTCAGGTTAACTGGAACTCTTACAAATTTACCGACCGAGCTAGACGAGCAGGAAAGCTCGTGGGTAAAAATGGCCAGTTTACCGTTCTGTATAGAAAAACGAAGGCGGTTTAGTTTTTCCTTTCTTGAAATTGATTTGAGCATATTACCTCAAAGAGAGAAAGGAAGACATCACTACCTGTACTCATACTCGGCTTTTTCACAGGACCTTGCAACGGCAGGTTTTCAACAAACCTAAAACAGTGTTCATTCACTCATTTGCATAGTGATCATCATAATATTCAAAATACCAGACATGTGGGCTGTCGAAGGTGACTTCAAACTGGTATATATTCACACCATTCCCTCCTTTATCGGCAATCAGTAGTTTATTGTCAACGCCGGTTGTGGAAAAGTACAAAATATCCTCAATTTCTTTCTCCCTTTCCCATTCCCACATTAAAAACTAAAATTACAAACCAACGAGTTGGTTTATAAAAAGCTGACAGGACAAGGAAAAATGAAAATTCTGTAAAGTAACTTGTGGACTTACAAGTTGAAAATTTGTGATTCTGTACCACTGTATCACATGACGAGGGTTGTTGAAGCAAAGCAAGATGTAACCCTCTAAATCAGGAAAGTTGTGATTCTTAATTTTGAACATATCTGCCGCAACAATACTATCCTTAAATTCTGAAATATAATTTTTAACAGTTGGTTAATTTTTTTTTTAAATTTTTATAAGGGTTTGTAACAGTAGAAGTATAAACCCTCAGGGTGTAGGTGTTTTTGGAAAAAAAAAACGTTTGTAAGTATGTCGGGTTCCAGGGCCGCTGGATTTGAACCCGGGACCTTCACCTTACGGTGATGAGCGCCGTGTCAATGCTTAAACCATTGTGGCCACCGATACCCCCCTAATTCGGGTATTAATCTGGGGGTAAAGCCTGTATTTATGTGCAATTGCATATTCTTTTTGCTAACCCTTATGATCATGGATATTTATCAAAATCGTACCTCTGTTCAATATTTATTCTGCATATTTTAAGAATATTATATAAGTGATATTCTATAAGTATATTGCAAATTTGAAACATTTTTGTTTGCTTTAAACAAATAAATTTGGCAACTAAGAACATGAGATGGGGTAAAAAACAAAAACAAAACAAGATCCTAAAATTTGATTCTACTTGATTTTCCAGAAACAAAAATGTAAACAAACTGGCACAATAGAATTCTATTAAAATAATCAGTATTTTCAACTTATATGTGAATTTTTCTGCCTTTCCTGAAAAATAACTTTTATGACTCAAGTTCATCAAATCAATCTCAGTCCTCTATCGTATCTTCATATCATATCTTCATATCAGCCTAGTAAACCTAGTCAAAAAAACAAAAAAAAACAACATGCGGTATGTATGGAATGCCATCTCTTTCTAAAATAGCAGGTTGACTTAAAAAAAAAAAAAAAAAAAAAAAAAATGTGGCATGCTTTAATATTTTTCGTGCAAATTATATGCCATATTTGAGAGTTTATTAAGTGCATATAGTATTGCATGGTTGTGGTTTTAATGGTTTATGTTATATGGCATATTTGAAGATTTTTATTGCATATAAATCCAACTCTAGTTATGAGATATTGTGTCAAGGTCTGTGAGGTGAGGAACGTACGGTATTATCTCTTATTTAATTATCTTTGTCTGTTATACAAATTTTCAAATTTAACATTTTTTCTGTCATTTTATACGTTTCCCAATTGGTACGGCCTTATTACAGGTTCCAAAAGTTTGGTTAAATGCTGAAACACATCAAACAGACAAAAAGGCAGACGAGAATAACTAGAGATGATCAAACAACATTAATTGATGCGTGTTATGATGACTCAGTACATATTTTTAATTAAAAACCCAATTTAATATAGGTAATTATTTTAAAAAATGCTCTACTTTTTATCGATTATCGTGTATTAATTAACAAGCTGTTTTAATAACTAATAAATGTTAAAAATAAATTATTTACTTACTAAGGCTCTTTTGATTGGTATGCACCGTGTTAGACTCGCCCTTATATAGCGTGAACAGATTGATTTCCTTATCCTGGATGCCGAGAATTAAGTTGTGGTGCGCCAAGCCCAACTTGTACCACTTTTTAATGCCGATTGGTGCGATGAAGTTTGCATCCTCTACTACCTCATCTATCACCAATTCTAGACAAAATCAAATCATTTATTGATAATGGTTTAGTTTTTAATTTTTAAATTGATTTTCAATATATGTAAATTATAAAGGCGATCAACTGCTTTGGGAAATTTTCCGCCTTAAAAAGCTGCCTGGCTGGGAAGTGAATAGGCCGCAGCCCAGGAATCCCCTCAGCAGCAGAAATCAGGGTCCTGGCAGTTACACATTTCCCCAGGACGGTTTAGCTTCAATAAATTGTTTATATTGTTATTTACACTATGTTATAAAAGAATAATCAATGAGAAATTTCAGGTTTTTTAAATTAATTAATAAATTATTTTTAAATAGGTGAAAAATGAAAATACTCAGGCACGTGCTTTTGAGCCATGTAGAAAGATGATCAATGTGTCCCACATAATAGAGGTGTGCCGTGCCTTGGCTCCGGATTTAAGAATGGTTCTCACATACGGTAGCGAGATTTAAGCTCCCTAGGGCTTTTTAAGCTTTTTAGGGGAATTGGGAATTTTTTATTGTATATAGCCGTCAATCTAAAATTTGTGTTTCTTTGTTTTGTATGAGTGTATTTATTAGAGTGAATGGGGAGGGGCTGATGGTGAAATAGCATCCCCATCACCTCTTGAGCTGTGTATGTGACTTGGATCGATGGAGGAATATTTATAAAAGTACCCCATTGACCCCAATTAGAGGGTTACTGAACCCACCCCTCAGGCAACGGGTGCATCAGTAGGGGATTCGTATAACCTCCAAGGTGGGCGATCAGTCCGACTTAAAAATAATACTAATCCATGGGAGTGGAGTATCCAAGCGGCTCTACTAATTGAGGTTGGACTCATGGTTTGTAAACAAATTTACCGTAGCTGGAGTGTACCAGCCAACCGGAGCCGGAGATAGAGTGCCTTCTCTATCTCTCCGGGGGTGGTGAAAGGCTGTGCTGGAAACCACAAAACTGCCTTTTTCAAGGAACATGTATGCCCTTTTTAGGGCACTTCTGAACTTGGTTACCACCTTGCTAGCCAAGGGATGTGACAAGTCCATAAAATCTTCCTGGTGTTCTTTCGAGAACACTAGGCATCTGAGAAGTCCCCTTGGGGATAAGTCCAGACGTTAAAGATCCTCATGGGTCTCAACACCCATGAGTAAAGATGGGAACATCTGACCCCAATTAGATTAGTTTGTTATTGTATGCAGATTGATAGAGGAATATCGAGTACTCCATCTACTAAATAGAACGAATGCAATGTATACAGGTGTGAATGTATTTATTTGTGTGAATGCATATTGAATGTGTGTTGTTGTATTTCACATGAGCTCGGGGCTGAAATGACTAAGCTGTCAGATGCCCATAAAAAATAAATAAATAAATAAAAATAAAAACAAAAATAAAATACAATATTAAAAAACAAACAAGATAAGAGTAAACTTTTAATATTAATGTCAATAACAACAATACTAGTTGTTTTAATTTCAATCAATTAATTAATCTATTTATGTAAGTAGGTTGAGATGGGAGTTGGTGTCCGAGTGGATCAAAGTCACGATCGCTCAAGTGGTAGAGCATCGGCATATTGAGCCGAAGATCGTGTGTTCGAATCCCGCTCGTTAGCTACGACTAGCTTTTTCATTTTTTCATTTCAACCAAAACATAAAAAGATTATTCAATTGAAAGAAGTTATTTGGTCAATAGACCACTAAATATAATGGATTTAATAGTTTCAATATTCAAGCTGTTCATCCCTCTCTCTCAAATCAGCTCTGATATAGATATTCCATTGTTTAATATTTTTAATGTATCTTATTTAAATAATAAGGGTATTTTAGTGCAATGTAAATAATTGATTTTACCTTCCATTATTGCAAGTGAGTTCTTATAAAATCGGTTTTGAGAAAGGTCATTCTCTTCCCCCTATAATTATTATATAAAAAATAAATACTTTTTTGTTAATATAAAATAAATAATCGTATACTGACATAACAAATCGGTTGGACGATGCACAATACAATTAATACATTTAAAAATATCATCGCGATTTGAAATATACGAACAGGAACAATTTGGATACAAATCTGACCAGAAGAGCTGCTTATTCTTAAAATATGAAAGATCAAAGGTCAATCTTTAGCATGAACATAGTAAAAACAAACTGTATTTGAATAAATGCAGATTAAAAAGTATGTAAATAATTTAGTTTTTCTCTAACTTTTGGGTGATTTATTTTAGTTTCAACGAACTTTTCTGTCTTACTGTCATAAAGAAAATCAAGCAACTTGGATTTTCCGAAGTTTTTGACTTGTTTTTTCGGAAAATAATGAAAAACGTGTTATTTATTATATTTATTGAAGATAATATCTGTTTATTAATCTATCAAAATTTGTTTACATTGGCATAGAGAAGTATAGTGCAATATTCATAGCGGTGGACAATAAATGAAGATTTCTTTTTAAAATTGTTTATTAATTTGTTCTAGTGATGAATTGCAAGTCGAATTTAAATTTTGGGATTTTTTAAAATAATTAAATTTATTTATTAAAGCTGTTCTTATTAGACCAACCATTAATTTTACAATAATATTATAGAATAAATAAATGTTTACATTCTTATAAACCAATATTGGTACAATAAGATTTACATTTCACTATTCATTTTTAACTACACAAGTTCATATGGCTTTGTTCTTTTTAATCTTCTGACCATGTTTCGGTTATGTAAGAGTTTGGTCGCTTCCACATTCTCGTGCTGGCTGAGGCGAGCCTGGTGTTTGGCGGCAAATCTTTGTATTTCCGCCGTGACTTCAGGCATCTTAAGATCCCTATGTAAGTCCTTATTCCTTATGTACCAAGGTGCATTGACCATGTTACGTAAGATTTTATTTTGGAGTGTATGTATGATTTTGATATTTGGTGTTTGGTACAACCCATAGTTGAATACCATATGTCCATAGGCTTTATGACTTGTTTATATAATATTTTATTTTGTATAGCAAGGTTGGAGCCACATCCTATCAACCATGTATATACTTTAAACCCATTTCTGTCCTTTTTATTCTTCACGTGTTCTTTCCATCTCAGCTGGCATCTAATGTCATTCCCAGATATTATCTAGCTGTATCACTGTATGGTATAGTAGTTCCATCGATTGTGAGCTGATTAGATGAACTGATTTGTGCTGATTTAGTTTGATTTTCAATTTTTTTGGCCATTCATTTATCTTATTACATGCATTTTGGAGGCTTTTGGTTGAATGGATGATAGTCGGTCCTAGTGATATCACTGCTGTCATCTGCAAACGTTGCGATTTTTACTCCATCTATTTTCGGAAAATCACTGGTGTATAACAATTAAAGCAGTGGACCTAATATGCTACCTTGTAGCACTCCTGCATTTATTGTTTTTAATTTTGAATATTGATCTTCTTGTTTGACTCTAGTCTGTCAGTTAGGTAGGAACTGATAATATCGACATACAGCTTTGGTAGCCTTTTAGTTTATAAATTTTGGGGGTTAACGGCTTTTAAAAAAATTGAAAAAACGTGCTTCATCTTCCGGTTTTTTGCTGGCCGTCATATCGAACTTCGTCTTTCCAGTCTCTGCGACTTATGCGCCGACTTGCCCATTGTACTCATCCCCTGTAAGAATCAATTTGACCACCTTATAAAATTATCAATGACGATAAAAGAAGAAGGTGCGAAGAAGAGAAAAACTCCGATGCCGAAGCAACGGGGGTGCCAAAGTACAAGCGCTTGCGCCCCGGTAGCAAATATTGATCAGGATTTGTTAAAATGCTCCTCGTCTCGGTTCCTCAGTTGTGCATGTGACTTAAAGCAAGGCAGGATTGCTGGGTGAGGCCAAAGAGGGATTTGGCATCTTGCTTCAAGCAGGGTAAGCAATATAATGATAAACCGGCGGATGGACAAAAGGATCCGACCGGACAACGTGCAATTACACGGTGCCGTTTAGATTTTGGGTGGTCGGCCAGTTAAGTCACCGGATGGCTTATTTGTTTTTGTTTACACCTAGAAGAAGAGAAAGGTTTTTATTTTTATTTATTTTTTAATAAATATATTTACAATATTAATTTGGAGACCAAATGAATAACTTACAAATATGAATGTGAAGTTGGATAATGTGATATATTTTTAAAGGGCGTGTTCAGAAAGTGACAAGTTTTACACAGTGCCCGTTGTTGCTAAGCTCCCCAAACCTAGTAAGTTTTATATAAAACAAAATATAGGAAAGATCTTTTTTTTTTTAAATTGTACTATAAACCCATCAACCACTTCACTAAGCTTATTTTCGAAAAGTTAAGAGAAGCTTTGTTTGTCTTCGTTGTGTTACAACTATGATTGATTTTTCTGCTGTTAAGATTACATTTAATATTTATTATCCTTGGGATTGACAAAAATCAATTGTTTACAATAAACATGTCGATACTTAGAGATTGAGTGGTATATTTTAGACGTTTTAGAATTGTTCAATTTTCTAGGAGAACTCTTCCTAATTAATTAACTAATAGGATACCGTTTCCAAATTGAACGATAAAAATGAATAAATAACGTTAAAAAAAATTATTTGTATTTTTCTAGTGCACAAATTTTTTCTGTGCCTGTGGCTTTAGTGATATTCCACTCATAAAATAGTGCCACTAAAATAGACCCATAATTAATTAAAACGTAAAAGTTATTTTTAAAAAAATAACTAAAAATTATTAAGTAAAAGTTTTTAATAAAATTGACTATAAATAATTTATACAACATTATTCCTGTCGGTTGACAATTATTTATGTTTTGGGGGAGAACAGTGACATGATTAATTACGTCGGAGAGTACACAAAGGTGAATTAAATGACCTATTAATATAATTGATAGTAAACATAAATTTAATTTATGATTCTACTTAAAGCAGGAAATATCAATTTTTATTATAATAACAGACTTTTACCAAAATAAAAACAAATTTTGTTTACGCTTTAAGCTGTACGATCCAAAATAAGAGTTTAATTGATAAAATTTGATAGAATCAAGAATGTAATATGCCTTCGTGCTCAAGAAAATATGAAATAAGAGAAAAAAAATTGCCTGTCGATTGCGGAATAAATAAATACAGGATTGCTTTTTAAGCGAACATTTTCACACTGTGCGAAAATTCATTTTATCTCGGGGTTTTTTTTATTGGTTTATTGCGCCATTTTGGCCTTTGGTTATCTTATCTGAGTGGCTTTATTGTGTTGTCGTATTTTCAAATCGGTGGTGACGAGTTTATTAATAATTATCGCCAATCTTGTATCCATTGATTGATTTTATCTCTGCTTTAAATTTCAAATTTGTGAAAAATTGATGAACCTGCACCTTGATCCTTTCCCATCGAATATTTATATTAGAAAGGACAGAATTACTGGGAAAAGAACAGACTAACCGATGAAAACGGGAAACGCTCCTCCCAGGCAGAAACGGCAAGAATGGAGCCAGTACGTTCATATTGATCATCATATCGTGATATTACAGACCTATCGTGTCTAGGAAAAAAAGAACGCTCCATTAGCAAAACTGAATTTATAAAATTACCTTTTTAAAATTTTAAATTATCAGAAAGACCAATTATGCTAATAACATAATAAAACTAAAAGTGAAATTATACTTTCATCTACTGTTTACACCTGGCTGAGCAATTTGTATGTCGACTGAATATATCAGAGTTAAGTGGTTTTCAATCTCATGACAGCAGAATGCACTAAAGACAAAAGCGAAGATGGGCGGACCGGGTTCAATTATTTATGATCAAGCTTTGGAAATGTTATATATAAATAATGCTTCGTAATTAATTGTGATTATTTTGTAGTCTTAAGAGGCAAAAAACATGGATCATATTGTTTTTACATGGTTGTTAATGCTTACACCACAAGTGAACGGGAAAAGGCGGAGTCCGAAGGAGCGAGGTCCGGTGGCTGTGGAATGAGCATAAGGGAGAAGTTCGCATTTCCGTTCGTTAAATGATCGTAAGGTTTGGTTTGTGCTGTTTAAAGCTGGTTTTTATCTGCTCAAGTATGGCTTATTTTGTAAAGCTAAGGGATTATCGCCCAAATCAGAAGATAATCATGCGAAATCATGCACGCGAGTCGCGCAAACGCATATTTAAAATGTTAAGAAATATTTCTCCTAGTATACGCACGCGATCCACACCATTATTTTGTTTCTTTTAGTGAATATTACAACTGCCCAAATGCGGGTAACGAGCAGTAGTGTACAGAGATTTAAAAAAAAAGGAACTGGAGGAACAAAGAGTCGATAAGCTACCTACTGGTAGCACTTCATATTTTTTACTTAAATTATGCACATTATGTTGCTGTCTTTGCTCATCAGGTGATCTCTGGGACATTGCCGTTTTTATCTTCTTAGGGGGTTTGGATGAGTGGATTGTGAATGACAGTGAGGGTTTTTATAGAATTTACGGTGTTTGGTCAGGATTATCTCATATACAATTTGTTGTTGGATCATTGTTGACAGGCAGAATAGCGCATTTCTGAGGATTTTGTCTGGGCTGTTTGAATTCGTTAAATGTTGGAACGTTTGGCCAAATCCCAAAGTTCCAGTCCATTAGTCCAAGTAGGTTTTAGTATTGTGTTGTAAATAAATCGTTTGCCGGTCATCTTTGACCTTTTGTCAAGTAACCTTAAAAGGACATTGCATAGTCATATCAGTTCGCACCTGGTTGGAAGGGCCGGTTTTTATTCTAAGGAGGTGAAGGTAATATTAATCAATATATGTTTTATTTTCACCATTGCTCGATTAGGTGCAGGTTACAAGGAGAATTAACAGGATCTGTAAATCGCAGGATCGCTGTGTCATCAACAAAGGTAGAATAGAATCAGGATAGCCGGGATGACAATTCTATATGTAGGAGACTGGTAAATATGGGTATATATGGGGTTCCACCATATAAAGGAAAGCTAGAACCTACCTTGAAGAACTCCAACTGTTATGGGATGGCATCAGGCCTGAATAGTCCCCTCGCTAACACCGAAAGATTGGTAATATGTAAAAGGAATGTTACCAGACATGATCATAGTGAGAAATCCTTTCGTAACCTCATGGTACTGG